ACTCACAGAGATCCACCTGCCTCTGCTTCTGAATGCTTTTTTTTTTAATTTCAGAATTTTTAATTTATTTTTATTTAAATTAGAAACAAGCCTGCTTCACATTTCATTCCCAGCTCTCTCTCCCTTCCCTCCTCCCCTGCCCCTCACAAACTCCCACCCCATCCCCCCTCTGCTACCCAGGGAGGGTGAGGCCCTCCATGGGGGATTGCCAAAGTCTCTCACATCATCTGGGGCAGGGCCTAGGCCCTCCCCCATGTGCCCAGGCTGAGAGAGCATCCCTCCGCAAGGAATCGGCTCCTAAAGTCAATTCATATGCCAGGGATAAATACTAGTCTACTGCCAGAGGTCCCATAGATTTCGGAGGCCTCCCCAGACACCCACGTTCAGGGGGGGTCTGGATTCAGTTCAATGTTTAGCTGTGGGTGTCTGCCTCTGCTTACATCAGCTACTGGATGAAGGCTCTAGGTTTTGGTCTTTTTTTTAATGGTGTGTTTTCTTGTCATGTGTGGGCATGTGCAGGTTCCTGAATCTCCTGAAACTGGAGTTACAGGCAATTGTGACTGGTGTGGGTACTGGGAACTGAATTTGGGGAAGAAAAGCACACTGCTTTTAGCCAGCAGCTGCTTCAGCCACTTCAGTTGTTTTAATCACAGCACCATGCCCAACATTCGATCTGTGACCCACGAAGAGCCAAACTGTAGATGCCTGATGTGCCCTAAGCAAAAACATCACTTCAAGTTTGTTGAATTGCCCACCTTTTTTAGAATTCCTGGACGCTATCTATGGGTGTGTGCTTGTGTGTTCTTACAGAAACTAACTTTCTCAGGAGATATGATCACTCTCCTCAGCCACCAGTAATGTTGCTTTTCTAGGCCTTTCTCATCAATGTCCATGGGGATACCTTCAGAACTAATTCTAGTGATGAAAGTTTTCCTTTTAACTTTGTTGTAGAATTGCAGAGTAGAGAATAGTTTTCTCTCATACTCTATGTTAAGGTCAGGAGCTTAGGCTGGATGGTTAAATCTGTTCCTAATTACCGATTCCAAACTTTCCTCTAACAGTCTTCTGTTCATCTGGATAGAATAGCGTCTGCTATCTTCCCCACTTCATTTACCAACTTTCTGGATGTTTGCCAGAAATTAACTTTTTTTTTTTTTTTTTTTTTGGCCACAGGACCTGGCCCCTGTGTTGGTCAGGAATTTGAGGGCTCAAGGGCTCCTCAGCCAGCTAGCTCAGTAGTTGGCACCTCCTTCAGAGACTGAGAGCCCTTGGCTTAAGTTTCCCTCTGAGCTCCTCCTTGGCCTCTGTGACATCAGCTCAGATGACCCTCTCAGGTCCCCTTCTCATGGTCAGCTTGCCCCTGCATTTGGCCTCATCCTTCATCAATAATTGCTGTCCTTCTCAATCTCTATTTCAGGATCCCAAATGCTAACCATTAGGCTTTGTGCTCGCCTAACTGGTTGTACTCTTTCTTTCCTAATTAAAACTTCCAACTACAGCTGGGGATAATCACCAGCATTGAGGAGGCTGAGGCAGGGGGATATCAAGGTTGATGTCAGCCTGAGCTACATAGTGAGAGACATTTATTTAACAAAAGATTTAATTGCCTAAAATAGAAAAAAATGTATTTCATATTGAAATGGGTACTAAACCAAGAAAAATCATTAAAATACAAGTGATACCTAAAATCTTGAGAATGAAAAAATATTTGAAAGTGAATGAAGGATTTGATGCAATTGTTTTGTCATAAAGCCTTTTTCCTTATTTTTGTTGCTGTTAGGGGTTGAATTGATGTTCTGTGCATACCACTTAACCATACTGTCATTCTCAAAGCTGTATTTTTTCCAGTCATTTGGATAACTGTCTCCCTTTGTCATGCTATTGATGTGCACTTGACTTTTTTTTTTTTTAAGATTTATTTATTTATTATGTACACAACATTCTGCCTCTATATATGCCTACAGGCCAGAAGAGGGCACCATATCTCATTACAGATGGTTGTGAGCCATCATGTGGTTGCTGGGAATTGGACTCAGGACCTCTGGAAGACTAGCCAGTGCTCTTAACCACCAAGCCATCTCTACTGCCCGTGCACTTGACTTCTTAAAGGCTGTTTTACACGGGATTGGTTGTGAACTTACGGCTATCACAGTACTCATCCCCAATGACTTATTTCTGCCGCTATGTTCCATCTCCTACAAACTTCACAGCCTAAGAATCACCACAAGCTGGGAACCAAGTGCTCAAAAATAGCCTTTGGGGGGCAGTCCAGATTTAACCCATAAGAAATACCTGGTAATAAATACATATACATATGAGGAAATACTGCAAAGCCATAAAAAACATATTACTGACATTTATTTAAGAATAAGAGACTGTGCCAGGTGCTTCATGCCCTTAATCTCAGCAGTTGAGAAGTAGAAGCTCGTGGATCTCTCTGAGTTTGAAGGCAGCCTGGTCTACATATTGAGTTCCAGCCACAGCTACATGGTGAGACCCTGTCTCAAGAGGGAAAAAATGTGGGGGCAGGAAATGGTGGCACATGTTTGTAATTCTTATGCTTGGAAGGCTGACTGTGCGTTGAAGTCCAGCCTAAGCTACATAGCTGGTATCAAGAGAATCAAGCAGACCTGGAGTGATGGTTCAGTGGGTCAGTGTGCTTGTGCCATATGCAGAACCAACACAGAGGTAGAGACATGACTCCATAGAGTTGTCTTCTGACCTCTCTGTGCCCCCTACATCAGGCATGTGCAAATTATACATCATCATCATCATCATCAATGAGTTAAAACCATGCAGGGCCTGGAGGGATGACTCAGCAATTAAGAACCCTGGTTGCTTTTCTAAAGGATTGGAGTTCAGTTCCCAGCAGCTCCATCAGTTTACAGCTGCCTATAACTCCAGTTCACAGGGACCTGGTGTCCTCTTCTGACCTGCAGGTACCAAAAATCCATAGACACATTTTTAAAAATTAAAAATGCAAAGAAAAAAGTACTGTTAGTCATTTGTATCTGAGCAAATCAGCATCTGGAATGAAAGGATCACGTTGGCCCACAGTTTCAGTGATTCCAGTCCGTGATTGGCTGCTTCCATCTCTCTTAGGGCTGGGACAAGGCATTAACATTATCACAGATGGGCAAGGTGTGGGGAACTCTCACCTCATGGCAACTGAGAAGCAGAGATAGACAGGAAGACAGGAGGAACACCATACACCCTCCAGGGCTCTGAGAGGGCTCAGTGGTTAAGAACATTTGTTGTTTTTGTAGAGGACTTAGGCTCAATTCCCAGCACCTACATGGCAGCTCACAGCTGTCCTCAACTCCAGTTTCAGGGGATCCAAAACCCTCTTTTGGTCTCTGACAGCACCGAGCACAAATATAATTCATAGACCTACATGCAAGTAAAACAGTAATACACATAAAATGAAAACAAACTGAATCAAATATATATTCACCTCCCAGGCCCTGCCACCTACTAGCCCATTCACTATAAACTGATCAATGGATTAACCCCGCCAATGAAGTCAGTGCTTTCAATGGGGCCCATGACTGTGGACTAAGCTTCTAACATATGGACCTTTGGGGACATTTCATACCAAAACCATAACAAATAATAAATTAGTTCTGACCATAACGCTCATAGTACTTCCATTGTGGGAAAGGGAGTCACAAGATGGCTCCGCAGGTAAAGGTGCTTGCTGCCATTCCTGTGACCTGATTTTGATCCCTAGAAGCCTCAAGATGGAAGGAGAGAGCCCATATGCTGTCCTCTGGCCTCCCATAGGCATGCCTTAGCACAAGCACCTTTCCCTAATAAGGTAGTTCTGTTGGACTATGAGGTGCAGGTGGATTCTTTTCTTCTTTTTCTGTACTTCCCAAGATTTCTACAATGAACATACATGAGATGGCTTAACAGGAAGTACATGCTGCCAAGCCCCATCCCTGAGCCTCTTATGGTAAAAGGAGAGAACTGAGTCCCATAGGTTTTCTCACTTCCACAAGCACGAGAGCATCAGCCTCCCCAAAACAAAACAAATGTAATGAAGAGGAACTCAATTAGCTAGGCGTTGTAGCCCACACCTTTAATCCCAGCACCCGGGAGGTAGAGGCAGGCAGATCTCTGTGAGTTTGAGGCCAGCCTGATCTACAGAGTGAGTTCCAGGACCGCCTCCAAAGCAATACAGAGAAACCCTGTCTCAAAAAAAAAAAAGAGGAACTAAATTAATATGAGAACTGAGTGTGGGGATACCTGCTTGTCACATCAATAGGAGGCTGAGATGGGCAGAAGACAAGTTGGAGGCCAGTGTGGCCTACACACTGAGATCTTTCTCAAGAGAAAAATAAAACGTACCCCAGTCCCCCACCCAAAAAAATAAAAAATAAATGTGAGAAATTAAAGGATTACTTAGCCAATCTGAATTCGTCTGTCTTCAATATTGTAGACAAAAATTCCATTTAATCAGCTCATCCAGGGACTATCTGTTTTAGGTAATTGACTTAAAATAATCTCAGAAGAAAGAGGTTATTAATTAGGTGAACACATAACCAGATTATACTATACTAGTGGATATATCCCTTTTTAAGATATATAATAATAGACAATTTTTTTTTGTTTTTCAAGACATTGTTTTTAAATTATAAGCTTCTTGTGAAATGGAAGTTTTAGAAGAAAAACAGTGATCTGCCAGGTGGTGGTGGTGCACACCTTTAGTCCTGGGACTCAGGAGGCAGGGACAGGCAGATAGATCTCTGAGTTTGTGGCTACCCTGGTCTGTGTGGTAAGTTCCAGGACAGCTAGAGCTTATAGTGAGATTCTGTCTCAAACAAACAAACAAATGGTAATAGTCAGGTACATATATTTGCCCTAGTTAGCTCTGCCAATTTCACAAAGCCTAAGATCAGCTGAGAGGTCTCACCCATGAGGGATGCCCAGATTAGATTAGTCGGTGTACCTGTCTGTGGGGAACTGCCTGGTTAATTGACATAGGCCAGCCCAGCCCAGGTGGCACCATTTTGCAGGCGGGTGGTCCTGGGCTATGTAAGAAAGCCAGCATGAGCCTGAGGGCGCTAGCAAGCAGGATTTCTCTTGCGGTTTTGCTTCAATTTCCTCCTTGAGTTCCTGCTGTGATTTCCCTCAATGATGGACTGTAACTCATAAGTTGAAACAAACCCCTTCCTCCCACAAAAGGCTTTGGTCAGTGTTTTATAACTGTAACACAATTGGGGCAGCAAACAGAACGCTACTGCTTTACAGTGTAGATAGCATTTTGGTATATTTGGACTTATTTGACACCCCTTACCTTGTATGGTAAACAGGACCTGCAGTCTTTTCTTCCCCAGTTATCCCTAGGGTGCAGTCCGGGAAGTCTAGGCCATGTTCTGTGTTCTTGGTGATCTTGTTAAAGTCATGAATGACAAAGTCATGAATTACTATAACAGCCTACATTGACCTCAGAATAAATTAGGAGGACACAAGCTCCTTCCTGTATGGTCTGTCTCTCATTTATCTCCCCAGCCCTTTCCCTGTAGAAGTAGACAACATTGGCTTTTTTGAGGGTTGCTGCCTTCTTGTTCTAGCCTAACACGAACTTTCTATGTGCACACATCCTTGACATGTATCCAAAGTATGATGCCAGTCCTACTACTGCATTAGGACTCCAAGAGACTAATTTTTACTTAATCAATGCTTCAAAAGTCCTGTCTCCAAATAGCCACATTCCGAGTTACTAAGGATGGGGGAAGGGAGTGAGTTAGAGCTCCAACATGAAAACTTCGGATAGACAACTCTGTGTTTAAATCTACCTTCCCCCACTTTGCATCTAGTGCACTTTTTGTCACACTTAGCTTGAACCGAACATGTTATTTGTACAAACTAACCTTTTCAATGCAGACAAAATAGGTTGCATCACCTTGTAATGGGCTACATGACCGGGGGCAGAGTTAGTGCCTCCGTTTTATGACTCCATTCCAGTTTACGCTACTTTCATGGCGCTAAATCCAACGTTTGGCACCCAGTGGCTTAAAATACAACTTTTCTGCTGCTCAAAACTTGCATTATTTAATAGATTGTACGCGATCGTACTTGCTTTCAAAAGGCAAACAGATTAAAACCACTTTTGGAGAAACAGTACCGCAATATTGTGTAATTGCTGTGAGAAAGAAAACGCTTAACGCAGAACAGTTAAGACCATCTCTCAAGTAATTAATTACACACACCCACTCAAAAAAAAAAAAAAAAAGCCCCTTCACATTACAAGGCCTAAAAACGGCCTTCAGGCGTTACAATTTATGGTAAGCCTTATTTTTCAGCAGCTAAAGTACTACGGTAACTTTTGAACGAAGCCTTATAACCCCAAAAGCATTTTCGAAAAATGGCGGGAACACACCATGGCTCGCATGAAACTAATGAATTCAAAAAAGCAAAAAGACAAAAGAGCCATGACCCCGACGTGATTCGAACACGCAGCCTTCTGATCTGGAGTCAGACGCGCTACCGTTGCGCCACGAGGTCCTGCTGGGCTGTGGCTCGCGCGGTTTCTTAGGACTCCGCTAACATGGCGGTTGGAGCCCGCCTCGTCCGTCCACTCCCTGTCTCTCCCTCAGGAGCTGGCGGAGCCGGGTCACTCGGCGCCCGACCGGCCCTGGCAGCTAGCTCTCCGCCTAGGTCGGGAGCAAACCAGCGGGCGGGAGACTGAGGGTTCGCGTCTAACCCGGTCCTCTGGCTCGCAAGAAACCCGCGCTTCCTCTTCTGTCCCCGCCACTTCCCCCCGGCCGCCCCGCCTCCGCCCGTTAGGGGCGGAGACGCCCTCCCCCTCCCCCACGCGGTCTGCGCGCCCAGGGAGCGACCTCCTTTTGTAATCTGGCGGGACGCCATTGCGCACGCGCGGGCCTGCGCCGTACAGTGACTGTGCGCCGCTCCCCGCTTAGGGGCTGTGCTGTCATTTCCGGTTCCCGCGCTGCTGGGGCCGAGAGCGCTAAGCGTTTTCTCTCGGAGAGAGCAAGTTCTCTTTTCACTGGGAGGGCTGAACTTTTAAAAGCGATTGCTTTGATGGGGACAGGACGCGGTTCGGGGCACGGGTGACAGGAATGTCACTTCTGTCCATTCCAGGGCAATAAAAATTTTGCGACCTCCCCGTCGGGGAATTGAACCCCGGTCTCCCGCGTGACAGGCGGGGATACTAACCACTATACTAACGAGGAGCCGTGAGCGTCTGCTCTCCCAGGTCTCTCCTAAAGGATAGATTAGGTGTCTCTGGGCTCCAGGGTCTCCCTGCAGATTGTGCATTGGAAACTGGATTTCTTGAAATGACTGTTGCACCTTTTATCTGGGCGTGTTGCTGGTTCTCACTGTCTTTATTTAGAATAAAATACATTTCCAAGTTAAGTCTAGAGAACCACATGAAAAAATATCTTAAGCAAAGCCCCAAGCTTTCCAAATGTGTGGGGCTTTCGTGTTTGAGCTAATCGTGACGAAGTCATGCATATGAGGAGTTGAGAGCCTCACAAATTCGTGTTTTATTTGGAAGGTGAAGTTCGAGTGCCAGGTCTCTAACATGGTCAGAGCTGTTCCGCAGCCCTGTGTCTTCAAACGATTCGTCCGTCGGCGTTCGTGACACAAAAGGATCCGAGCTCACGGTTAGCTGCCTTCAAATGAAATTCTACTGACCGACTGACTGACTTTTCCTATATCCGTTTTCAAGAGTCTACAACTTAAAAATGACAGACATAAGTTTGTACATGGCTAAGGAATATTGCGTTTAAAGAACTAAAAAAAAAAAAAAGAAAAAGTGCCATCGACTAACATAGGGCTGTGAAAATACAGCAACCCTACCAACAGGAGCCTTTTCGTAAGCAGGATTAAGCCATTTTTCTAGGGGATCAAGGAAGACATCACTTATAAACTTTTATTTTGTCACCAAGTGCATTTATACAGCCACAGGTAAACAGACACAAAAGGATTCAGGAGATGTATGGAACTTACAATGTACCAGTCATTGTATTAGATGCACTGGGATGTGTTAATGGCTAAATCCCGATTTTTTTTTTTTTTTATGGTGTTTATGTTATAGTAGAAGCCAGCCAGACAATAACAATACTAGAACTGTCACTCATGTACCTTCGGGTCCTTTTCTTGCAGTGTTTTAAGGACAAGTAAATTTTTATAGATTACAAACTGCATGGTAATTTTAAAAAATAACATCTGTTGGCAGGGGTTATTTGTTTAATATAGAGAGAAATGGTAATTTCTGAGGTGTGTTTTGGCCCTTGAGGGGTTTGTTTTCCCCTCTAACTACACTAACTTCCTGAAATAGCAAAAGCCTTCCATACCCTGTAGCATGTGTCCACTTCTCATTCTCCAATAACTCTTGTGAGGTCCAAAGGTCCCTGGAGTAACTATGGCAATGCCCTTTTCTGGGTAGGATCTAGGGGACTTGCCCAGGTCTTTCAGTTGGCAGAGCTACAAGAGAGCAGGAACCGAGGTTAGCTGAATCACCTGTTTGCCCTACTCCATATAGGGAGAAGAGGCACTCTCTGCATGCCTCACCCTGTCCCTGCCGAGCTACGCCTGTGTTCCCTTGTGTTACTGCACCCTGGGGACACTAAGCAGTAGCCTGAGTCAGTTCAGGCCAGGGAGTGAGCAACTCAGCACCTGCTGTCTATCTTCCTAAAATGGAAAGGAAAAGCTGGTAATTAACCTGAAACTGCAAGCTACAAATGCTGCTGGCAGTAGGTAGTCCAGAGGTCACCCCGTGTTCCATGGAGGGAAATAGCATAATGGCAGTTAATGTTATTGGAGCTCTAAGTCTTGATGAAGCTAAGGAATTGTTTGGGTAGTAATCCTGTCTCACAAAATGACTCACACTCATCTCTTCAGCCTGTGAGGCAAGAAGAGCTGAAAGAGAACCGTAGGCAGAGTGTGTGACACAGGTAGGAAGTGAGAAAAAGCTGGGAATCCTGCAAGTTCTGGCAGCAACTCCTGGGCATTTGTGTTTATATGACATATGTAACATGTTTGTTCCTGTATTATTATTGACTAATCAACTATTACAGCTGGCAGGCAATGTATGGTTACTTATTCTTGTACTGAACTTACAATGTGCCAGATACTGTATTAGATGCATTGGGATATTTCAATGGATAAATCCTGTTCTTATGGCACTTACATTATCAGGCAGGCAGACAGTAAACAATATAACATGTTAGACACCAGGCGATAAACAATATAATAATAACATGTTAGATATCACTAAGAACAGATTAGTAGAATAAAATTAGAGAGTGGCTAGCTAAACAGGTTTGATGGAGGTAAGTTTGGTTAGGAAGCGAACACTGGGACTGGGAAAATGACCCACTGGTGAAGAGCTGGTGTGGCTGTGGCAGTGGACTGGAGTTTGGTTCTCAGCACCCATGCCAGGGAGCTTGTAACCATCTGAAACTCTAGCTCCAAGGGATCCACCAAGCTCTCTGGCCTTTCTGGTACTGCACTCCTGTGACCGTATCTCCCTCCACACACATAATCTAAAAAAACATATCTTAACAACAACAAAGACGTGACTATTTCCCAAGGCTCAGAGAACATGGAGGCAGAAAGAGCATGTAAAGGAGTGCTGTGGAATGCTGTGTTTAGATGCTAGACGAATGACAGACAGCAGCTGTGACTGTGAAGTCTGTCCGGACTGAGCCATCGCGATGGGGAGGGCCTCCTAAGGCCCCACTGTCTGCGAAGGAGACCTATATTCCCTCAGTGGCATAGCCACTGGGAAGTTGCCCTTGCCCAAGTAAATAATCCCCACCGATGCTTATGGAAAAAACCCTAAATAAACGTTTGGCAAGGGATGGGGGAGGGGTGGGTGTCAAAAGGAGCCGTGTTGGAAAGAAGGGGTTTGGTGGGGGAAAGATAGGGGAGGAAGGGGGACATGATCAAAGCCCACTATATATGTGTGTATGAAATTTAATGGAATTGAAAAAGAATGTTTCTTTGTTTTTGGTTTTTTGAGACAGAGTTTCTTTGTGTATCCCTGGCTGTCCTGGAACCAGGCTGGCTGTTTAAAACTCACACACAGAAGCCTTTAATCCCAGCACTCGGGAGGCAGAGGCAGACGGATCTCTGTGAGTTCGAGGCCAATCTGATCTCCAGGGCGAGTGCCAGGATAGGTTCCAAAGTTACACAGAGAAACCCTGTCTCAAAAACCAAAACCAACCAAATAAACAAACACAATAAAACCTCACAGAAATCCACCTGTCTCTTCTTCCTGAGTGCTGGAATTAAAGGCCTGTAATTCTAGCCCTTTGGGAGGTTGGGGCAGGAGGATTACAAGCTTCAGACTAGCCTGGGTTAACTTGGGCTACAGAGTGTCTGAGCTAGCCTGCATCATAGTGAGGTTGTTCCTAAAAATGAATGAGGCCGGTGGTGGTGCCCACCTTTAGGCCCAGCACTCGGGAGGCAGAGGCAGGCAGATCTCTGTGAGTGCGAGCCCAGCCTGGTCTATAAGAGCTAGTTCCAGGACAGCCTCTAAAGCCACAGAGAGACCCTGCCTCAACCCCCCCCCCCCGGTGAATAAATAAAATAAAAACAAGAGAAAAGAGGCAAACAGTTGACTGGGTTGAGAATAGACTGTAGGGCGGTAACAAAAGCAAGAAAACCATTAGTGAAGAAGTCTATTGCAACAATCCACATAGGTGTCCCAGTTTGCTTTTCTGTTCTTGCAATGAAACACTTTGACTAAAAAACACTTAGGGAGGAGGGTTTTCTTTAACTGATATGTATTCTTCACTGAGGGAAATGAGGGCAGGAATTCAAGACGCACACCAAGGCTGACTAGTGCATACTGGATGGCTTTCTGGCTTCCTGCTCAGCTCATCTTTTAATGCATCCCTGGCTCACCTGTCTAGTGATAGCGCCATCTACAGTGGGCTGGGCCTACCCACATCTGTTGTCAATCAAAATCTTTCATAGTCATGGCCATAGGACAATCTGACCAAGACAAATTTCCATCTGGGGTTCCCTTTCCGCAGATAACTCTAGCTAGGTTTGTGTCAAGTTGAAAATTAAAACTAACCATCACAACAGGAAACTGTGTTTTATGTTTTATCTTTTAAAGAAATTGTTACATTGTTTTACTAGGGTTGCTCTTCCAGATTGTCCCAGAGTGTTTACTAGGGTTTTATTCCCAGTGCCCATCGGTCTAGCTCTGCAGATCTTTTCCTGTCTGTGTCCATTTCTAAGGTAAACACAACCCAACCTGTTGCCCCCCCCCGCCCAACCCCACCTTCTACCCCCACTTCCCACCTGAAGAAGATTAGAGATACTAATGACTCATGCTCTCTCGGACAGTTTGGGGGTCAGTTTTCAAGTTGTTAGGAAAGACAAATCATTCTGGGTGTTTGGAAGTAGAATGGAATAATTTTCACTTCTTTTCTTTTAAAAGCAAAGCAAGACAAAAACAAACAAACAAAACCCTTGCTTTATTCCTGTTTTGGGTGCACAGCTAAAATACAGTTTTTGTGCTGCTTGAGGATCTAAGAAAAAAAAAAAAAACCTGTCCATACATAGCTCGTTTGTAATTTCGCCCTCTTTTATCAGCAAAGTGTTGTCATAAGAGTTTACCCATCCTCATCCAGATGTGGTGGCTCACGTCTGTCTTTAGTCCTATCTCAGAGGCTGAGGCACGAGGACCAGACCGTCTGAATTTCAGGGTACTCGGGCTACAGAGGAGAGCCTGTCAAACAAACAAACAAATAACAAGCAAGCAAAAACCCATAAAGTGAAGTTTACAATCTAATCAG